GGATGAGGAGGAGCGGAAGGTTTAGCGGTTGTCATGGTGATGGTGTTATAAGGCGTGGCAGGTCGGAGGATGAGGAGGAGCGGAAGGTTTAGTGGTTGTCATGGTGATGGTGTTATAAGGTGTGGCAGGTCGGAGGATAAGGAGGAGCGGTAGGTTTAGTGGTTGTCATGGTGATGGTGTTATAAGGTGTGCAGGTCGGAGGATGAGGAGGAGCGGAAGGTTTAGTGGTTGTCATGGTGATGGTGGTTGCCATGGTGATGGTGTTATAAGGTGTGGTAGGTCGGAGGTTGAGGAGGAGCAGAAGGTTTAGTGGTTGTCATGGTGATGGTGTTATAAGGTGTGGTAGGTCGGAGGATGAGGAGGAGCAGAAGGTTTAGTGGTTGTCATGGTGATGGAGTTATAAGGTGTGGCAGGTCGGAGGATGAGGAGGAGCGGAAGGTTTAGTGGTTGTCATGGTGATGGTTTATAAGGTGTGGCAGGTCGGAGGATGAGGAGGAGCGGAAGGTTTAGCGGTTGTCATGGTGATGGTGTTATAAGGCGTGGCAGGTCGGAGGATGAGGAGGAGCCCGGGGTTTTAGCGGTTGTCATGTCATCAGTGTGTCTCCCTGGCGATCAGACACGAGAGGAAACAGGGAGACTAACGCTGCTCTCTGAATGGTCACATCGATTCCAAACCTGATGTCTGACACGAAGTTTGGGTTAGTTCGGACGTTACGCTCTTCTAGTTAAGATGAACCTCACGTCTCCATGGTAACCAAACCACGACACATCTTAAGTTACAGACTAACTGGTTTACACGTCGGGTTTAGTGAGGACTTAGTGTGCTTAGTGAGTCTGTTGTTTTGACTTCTGACCATTTTATTTTATTCAGTGCCACAGACGTTCAACATGAGCAGCAGAGTGGAAAAACCTCGAGAGCAGGAGGAGCAGGAGGACTTCTACGACTGCCAGGAGACTCTGCAGCACCTCGACCTGAAAGAGAACAAGGAGGAGGATTGGACCCAACAAAAAAAAGAAGGAGGAGCGTCAAAAGACTTTACAAGTGACAGACTGACAGACAGAAGGGAAGGAGGAGGACAGGCGCAGGGAGACAGGCTGCAGGACGACAGGCTGCAGGAGGAGGAGCAGGGAGACAGGCTGCAGGACGACAGGCTGCAGCAGGAGGAGGAGCAGGGAGACAGGCTGCAGCAGGAGGAGGAGCAGGGAGACTGGCTGCAGGACGACAGGCTGCAGGAGGAGGAGCAGGGAGACAGGCTGCAGCAGGAGGAGGAGCAGGGAGACAGGCTGCAGCAGGAGGAGGAGCAGGGAGACAGGCTGCAGCAGGAGGAGGAGCAGGGAGACAGGCTGCAGCAGGAGGAGGAGGAGCAGGGAGACAGGCTGCAGGACGACAGGCTGCAGGAGGAGTCTGATTCCGAGTTTAAGGAGGAACCCAGCTGTGAGGTGGAGTTTGATGACGACTACCTGAGGGAGTTGGAGAAGGAGCTGACAGAGGAGGAGAAGGAGGTACCACCTGTTTACCTGTGTGTGTAGGTCATTACGACCTGTAAGACGTTTTGATAATATTATGTCATTGTTTACACACAGACAGTAAAAGCATGAAGTCTTCATGTTGAACCGATTAATTAGTCTTTAATAAACACAATAAATAAAGATTATTTAGTCTCATAATAAACAATAAATAAAGATTATATAGTCTCATAATAAACAATAAATAAAGATTATTTAGTCTCATAATAAACAATAAATAAAGATTATATAGTCTCATAATAAACAATAAATAAAGATTATTTAGTCTCATAATAAACAATAAAGATTATATAGTCTCATTATAAACAATAAATAAAGATTATTTAGTCTCATAATAAACAATAAATAAAGATTATATAGACTCATTATAAACAATAAATAAAGATTATATAGTCTCATAATAAACAATAAATAAAGATTATATAGTCTCATTATAAACACAATAAATAAAGATTATATAGTCTCATTATAAACAATAAATAAAGATTATATAGACTCATTATAAACAATAAATAAAGATTATATAGTCTCATTATAAACACAATAAATAAAGATTATATAGACTCATTATAAACAATAAATAAAGATTATATAGACTCATTATAAACAATAAATAAAGATTATATAGACTCATTATAAACAATAAATAAAGATTATATAGACTCATTATAAACACAATAAATAAAGATTATATAGACTCATTATAAACAATAAATAAAGATTATATAGACTCATTATAAACAATAAATAAAGATTATATAGTCTCATTATAAACACAATAAATAAACACATTCGGGTGTTAATCAGTCTGAGACGCGTTCAGGTGTTAATCAGTCTGAGACGCGTTCAGGTGTTAATCAGTCTGAGATGCGTTCAGGTGTTAATCAGTCTGAGATGCATTCAGGTGTTAATCAGTCTGAGACCCGTTCAGGTGTTAATCAGTCTGAGATGCATTCAGGTGTTAATCAGTCTGAGATGCATTCGGGTGTAAATCAGAGCTTCAGGTTGACGTGCACTCTGTTTCTGTTCTTTTGTTTCAGGGTCGACGGCAGCAGAGTTTAACCCTGAAGGAAAGAGGAAACATTCAGTTTAAATCTGGAGGTGAGTGACATCATTTTCAGTATGTCAACCAGTACAAAACAGTATTGACCAGTATAACCCAGAGTTACCTCATGTTCCTGCAGACTGGGAGGAGGCTGAGCGGAGCTATAAGGAGGCGCTGGTTTTATGTCCCGTCTGTTTCAGCAGAGAGAGAGCTGTGCTGTTCTCCAACAGAGCTGCAGCCAGACTGCACCTGGTACATGCTAACAACATGCTAACTACATGCATAAGAAATGCTAATCACATGCAGAGGGAACGCTAACCACATGCAGAGGGAACGCTAACAACATGCAGAAAGAATGCTAACTACATGCAGACAGAATGATAACTACATGCAGACAGAATGATAACTACATGCAGACAGAATGCTAACTACACACTAACAACATGCTAACTGTATCGCCTGTGTCTGTTTCTCAGGACCAGAAAGATCAGGCGATCTCAGACTGTAGCAAAGGTGAGTGATGACATCATTCTTTACCTATACAGCGTTCAAGCATCTCTGATTCGTTTGTTTGTTGATTGGACGTATTGTTACCATAGCAATAGAACTGAATCCAGACTACATGAGGGCGTTGCTGAGGAGGGCAGAGCTTTACGAGCAGACGGAGAAGCTGGACGAGGCCCTGGAGGACTACAAGAAGGTTCTGGACCTGGACCCAACCCACACTACCGCCAGACAGGCCTGCATGGTGAGTTCACTGACCGCTGGGACAAAAAAGAGATGAAGAATCGCAGTCATGAGTTAAAGTTTAAAAAAAAGACAGATATCATCACAATGCTGACTGCAACTGTCTCTCTCTCTCTGTACCTGTCTCTCTCTCTGCGTGCCTGTCTGTCTCTCTATCTGTATCTGTCTGTCTCTCTATCTGTATCTGTCTGTCTCTCTCTGTACCTGTCTGCCTCTCTCTCTGTATGTGTCTGTCTCTCTCTCTGCATCTGTCTGTCTCTCTCTGTATTTGTCTGTCTGTCTCTTTCTCTGTACCTGTCTCTCTTTCTCTGTACCTGTCTCTCTTTCTCTGTACCTGTCTGTCTGTCTCTCTTTCTATACCTGTCTGCCTCTCTCTCTGTACCTGTCTGTCTGTCTCTCTTTCTGTACCTGTCTGCCTCTCTCTCTGTACCTGTCTGTCTCTCTCTCTGTACCTGTCTGTGTCTCTCTCTGTACCTGTCTCTCTCTCTCTGTACCTGTCTGTGTCTCTTTATGAACCTGTCTGTATCTCTCTGTACCTGTCTCTTTCTCTGTACCTGTCTGTCTGTCTCTCTCTCTCTGTACCTGTCTGTGTCTCTCTATCTCTGTACCTGTCTGTGTCTCTTTATGAACCTGTCTGTATCTCTCTGTACCTGTCTGTCTCTCAGAGGTTACCTGGGCAGATTCAGGAGAGGAACGAGAAGTTGAAGGAGGAGATGATAAGTACGTACTGCACCTGAACACACCATCTTAAAGTAACAGTACAAAGTTTATGTGTTACAATGAGTGAGTCTTATTGTGAAGGTGTGTTTACCTGAATGACTTCCTATCTCAGGTAAATTGAAGGATCTGGGAAATCTGGTCCTGAGACCGTTTGGACTTTCAACCAACAACTTCCAGGTGAACCAGGACGCCTCCACGGGGTCCTACTCCATCAACTTCGTCCAGAGCTCCGGCGGCAACAACAACAACACATGATGTCACACAGAGCTGTCAGGTGTGGGTGTGTACCTGTGTGTTTAAATAAAAGCTGATTATTTGTTTATCTGTTTGTGTTGTTTTTTACGAGGCAGAAGGGTACACACCTGAGCTCTGAACGGTTACCATGGCGGGATAATCGGTTACCGTGGTAACTCCGGGGTTAAAATCTGTGTTTTCAGCTCACTTCCTATCAGGGTAGATCACCATGTTAACTGATGCTGACTACATCAGTGCTAAACCTCAACCTGTGAGAGACTCTGCTCATGGACCAATCAGATCCCTTTATGACAGAGGTCTGATTATGAGGGGAGAGAGAGACTGAGTGTGTGTTTGAGTTTCATATCAAATATATGATGGTGATGGATTTTAGACTGCTGTCTTGTGACAGACTAAACACTGAAGATACACTGAACATTAGGGCTGGGAATCTCTGGGTGCCTCATGATTCGATTCAAAACGATTCTGGATTCAAAGTCTAATTATGAATGAGTACATACTTCAGGATCCACTCCAGTCATCTGTGAGATCGGCTGAGTTGCTCTACTCAGCGTTCTACTGAGTTAAAGAGATAGCATTAGCACTTAGCATGGAGTGACTGATTAGCCAAAAAAAACGAAGAAAGTTATGAATAGATTTTAAATCTTAGAATCTGGATTTTTACGTAAATTGATTTTTTTCCCCATCTCGACTGAATATTGTTTCATATTAAGCTGTGAAGTGTGGGGCGCTGGTGGCACATGTATGGAGGCCATGGTCTTCCAAGTGGGCGGCCCGGGTTTGAATCCAGCCTGTGGCTCCCCTCTTGCATGTCATTCCCCACTCTCTCGCTCTCTGATTTCTGGCTTCATCCACTGTCCTATCTCTCAATTAAAGGCACAAAAAGCCCCAAAAATAATCTTTAAAAAAAAATGTATATCTTTATTTAGTTGAACGGATCCGAGTCTTCTGCCACCTGCTGGCAGTTTGTACAAACATCACCTGTATGCGAAGAGAACCATTTACACGCATGACCACATGGCGTTTGTAACGACACATCAGACGTCACGCTGAAGTAAGGTTTGTATTTGTTTTAAAACACAAACAGATTTTAAATAAAGACAAACTGAAGACGACTTCAACCCAACTCGTCTTCGTTTCTTTCATTTAAAGCAACACTCTAACTCCTCCTTCAGTCGACTCAAAGTTGTTCTAATAGAACAATAACCTCCAACAGGGAGAATGGCGTCTCTCTCACCTGTCCACAGAGCGCCCTGCTCGCCTGTTTTCAGCACTATGGGCGCGGTCACACTGGCCATCTGCACCGTGCCCTACTCAAGCACGACTGGCCCCCCTGCTGCCCCAATCCCACGCTGGCAGGTCACACTGCACAGGACTAACCATGCCTAAGCACGATTACATCTTGTACATAACGTCGTAATATAACACATGCATGCTTTATGTTATTATGAAGCATAATTAATAATATAACGTATAAATATAAAATAATATAATTAATATAACGTCTGGATGTTGTTTAAAAAAGTTAAAGCGCTTTAAATTATGTTTCTCCATCAACACACACACACAGAAGTGAAGCTTCCACATTTTAATAAGAACAAACAAATACAGGTTACAGATTGTTGATCATATCTGACAGGTGTGTGTGGTGTGTGTGTGTCTCCGTGCTATTGCTGAGTCATCATTGGGCTCTCCTGGACAGCAGCATTTCTCTGATGTTGTCTTCTGCTTCCTTCACGCTGCGTTCAAGGTACACCTTCTTCTGCTGGAAATCACAGTACTTAAAGTTAGACCAATTAACACACACACACACACAAACACACGGTAAACAGTGTCTATCTCTGTGTACTTTCTGTATTTGTACCTCCAGTTCTTTTATTTTCTCGTCAGCTGTTTTCTGTTTGTCTGTCAGCTGATTGTTGATTTCCTCCTTTGACTGCAAGATGAACCTGAAACACACATGATACTTAATGATGACAGTGTTTTTTCAATGTCTAGGTTAACAAAGATCCTGGTTGTCATGGAGACTTACATGCGTCCGACTCCCTCGTACAGTCGCGTGTTGTCAGGTAGCGTGGTGATCTCAGTGTGAGTTAACTTAGCATGTTTCTGAAGCCGAGTCAGCTGATCGATCTGCAGGTCGGCCAACTTCACCTTCTGCTGAGTGTCGATCATCTTCACCTGCAGCTCTGTGAACGCCTACAACAGGGAGGTATCACTCTGTTTAACAACCTGAACAATGCTCAGCTACAGCTCTCTGAACGCCTACAACAGGGAGGTACCACTCTGTTTAAAAACATACCAACAATGCTCACCTGCAGCTCTCTGAACGCCTACAACAGGGAGGTATCACTCTGTTTAACAACCTGAACAATGCTCAGCTACAGCTCTCTGAACGCCTACAACAGGGAGGTACCACTCTGTTTAAAAACATACCAACAATGCTCACCTGCAGCCCTCTGAACACCTACAACAGGGAGGTATCACTCTGTTTAACAACCTGAACAATGCTCAGCTACAGCTCTCTGAACGCCTACAACAGGGAGGTACCACTCTGTTTAAAAACATACCAACAATGCTCACCTGCAGCCCTCTAAACACCTACAACAGGGAGGTATCACTCTGTTTAACAACCTGAACAATGCTCAGCTACAGCTCTCTGAACGCCTACAACAGGGAGGTACCACTCTGTTTAAAAACATACCAACAATGCTCACCTGCAGCTCTCTTGACGCCTACAACAGGGAGGTACCACTCTGTTTAAAAACATACCAACAATGCTCACCTACAGCTCTCTTAACGCCTACAACAGGGAGGTATCACTCTGTTTAAAAACATACCAACAATGCTCACCTGCAGCTCTCTTAACGCCTACAACAAGGAGGTATCACTCTGTTTAAAAACACCCCAACAATGCTCACCTGCAGCTCTCTGAACGCCTACAACAGGGAGGTACCACTCTGTTTAGAAACACCTGAAATGTTCAGTCGCGCGTGGCAGAGTCTTAGCTCCTCTTGCTAACAGTTAGCTCTAATGTTGCTAACGCTGCAGCTAACCGGCTGTTCTTTGTCCGCCGCTGCTCCTTACGATACACAGAGAGCACACAGACAGACACACAGACAGACACACAGACAGACAGGTAAACCCTGATTACTCTGTTACCTTCTTCAGCTCTAGATCAATGGGCGCAGCCATCTTAATGAACGATCCAAAATTACGCACTGCGCATGTGCGAGAACGAAAGCCTTCATGGTCTCCTTCTTTAGTTAGTGGTGACGGCTCGCTCTCTCTCCGAAATTATTTATTTATTTTCTAAAATATTATTTCATATATTTTTTATCTGATTCTTTCTTCACATTACCTGTAATAGTAATCTGCATGATTTTAAGTTTATTTGTAAATGAAAACATATTCTATGCTCGAGTTAAATCCCACCCCCGGAAGTGGAAGTCTCTCTGCGCGCGGGATTCAAGAGAAGAACAGCGCGCGACCAGCAGTTCGCGGTTAGTCGGCCCGGTCGGTTTTCCTCGCGCAGAGCACCGTCAGAGAAAACAAACAAACAAATAAATAAACAAACAGCCGTGAGAAGAAAGGAGGCAAACATGGCGACTCCCCCGAAGAGATCGTGTCGTGTTCCCGCCAGAGGGAAGAAGATTTCCATCGAGGGAAACATCGGTGAGTTCAGCAACCTTCAGCCTGCTCAGTACCGACAGAGTTAAACCCGTTAAACCGCCCGTCCTCCCGGTGAACACAGACCCGTCCTCCCGGTGAACATAGACCCGTCCTCCCGGTAAATACAGACCCGTCCTCCCGGTAAACATAGACCCGTCCTCCCGGTATAATCAGACCCGTCCTCCCGGTGAACATAGACCCGTCCTCCCGGTAAATACAGACCCGTCCTCCCGGTAAACATAGACCCGTCCTCCCGGTATAATCAGACCCGTCCTCCCGGTGAACACAGACCCGTCCTCCCGGTAAACACAGACCCGTCCTCCCGGTGAACACAGACCCGTCCTCCCGGTGAACATAGACCCGTCCTCCCGGTGAACACAGACCCGTCCTCCCGGTGAACACAGACCGAGCAGCTATCCATCAACACGATCGCGCCAAATTACTAAACACCGATCACCATGTTTCTACGAATAATCGATAACCTGTCAGGTGTTCTCCTCTCGTTATGTGTCTCACTGAGTTGACTGTAATCAAACTATTAGTTCAGTTTAGTGAGAGCAGAGAAACACAAACACTCAGCGGGCTGCTCTGCTAAACACTAATAAATATACTCTCTCTCTCTCTCTCTCTCAGCTGCAGGCAAGTCTACCTTTGTGCGTATTCTGCAGGGGGCCTCAGAGGACTGGGAGGTGATTCCTGAACCCATTGGGAAATGGTGCAACGTCCACAATGACAGTGAAGACGTTTACCAGGTAAACACAGAACACCTGAACACAGTAGACAGGTGATATCAGAGTGATACAACATTCATAGTCCTGAATGTTTACCTGTGTGTGTGTAGGAGCTGAGTTCCTCTCAGAAGAGTGGAGGAAATCTGCTGCAGATGTTGTACGACAAACCAAGCCGCTGGTCATACACATTCCAGGTAACTGACATCACACAGCGGGAGCTGGCACACTTATAACAACCAGAGATAATCAACTATGACTATACAACTATTAACCTGTCTGTCTCTCCACCTGTCTGTCTGCAGAGTTATGCGTCTCTCAGCAGAGTTCGTTCTCAGCTTCAGTCTCTGTCAGTCAAACTCAAACAGGCAGAAAATCCTGTACAGTTCTTGGAACGCTCCGTCTATTCAGACAGGTAATACACACACACACACACACACACACACACACACACACACACACACACACACACACACACACACACACACACACCTGAGGTGACACAGGTAACACATTCACATCTGTGGCAGGTCAAAACACACCTGAGGCAGGTAACACACACACCTGAGGCTGCTTGCTCTGGACCTGTTTTGCTTAGAATATTTGTAGAAATCTAAAAGGAGAACCTGAGAGTCTCTTTTTTTTAACACCTTTTTATTGAGTTGGCAGCGTGTATACACACAAATACAATCTCGGAGTGCTTTAACAGAAAATTCATTGCATAGAGTGTTAGACATAATCATGTGTCAAAACTCAATCATCAAAATAAATACACAACTTAACTTGCGATGGTGCAAATGATTTGCATATCTTCATCTGTGTAGACAATTTAAAGTACAAGATATATGTTGTGTTTGTGTATCCACAAGTACATTTACAACCCTACTAACACAACTAAATGCCCCCGTCCCATCCCGCCTCCCACCCCTAATTAGCCTTCCCTTCTACTAGCAAGAATTTCTACAGCTGAGAGAGCTTCAGACAAAGACATGAAGGTCTTTCCTTTTGCACCATGAGACCATGCAACAGAAAGTTCTAAGGACAGTATATCTAACAGCAGTGATTTAATGACAGTGTTTGAGGTGGTTTCCACCACACTACCAGGATTTTCTTTGCAGCAGTTAGGCCAGAGAGCCAAATTCTTTGCTCATGTTCAGTCTGAGACCTTGGAATTGTCATTCAGTAGGCACATTAAAGGGCAACATGGAATCTCCTTACCGATTATTTCTGACAGTGATTTTGTAACTATACAATCTTGTGAACAGAATTCACATAAGAGGAGATGAAGTTAACTTAAGCCTATATCTAGTTATAGGTGTAAAACAAATATAAAAAGAAGGAGAAACCGGGTAATTTATATTATTGTTGTAATTCTTGGAATGTACAGAGACCGTTAGCATTAAACATTTGTCCAAGTAAATGAATTCCATTATTTGACCATATTGGATAAGCCAGTGTCCGACCACCAAGTAACAAATTCTGGTTATGTAATAGTTCCACTTTTTGTTATACTTTGTTTGGTTTGTTGCTAGTTTCCATGTAGTCAAAATATTTGAAATTATAGGACCAAATCCCATTTTGGCTTGTTTGAGAGGGACTTCTGCATAAATTAATTCTTGTAGTCTATGTGGAAATACTAAATTCTCTTCTACAGAGCGTCGAGATTTGTGGGGTCAAGCCAAGATTTTAGAATGCGGAGAACGAAAGACCAGTAATAAAGTTTAAAATTAGGGACCCCCCATCCTCCAGCTGATTTTTCTTTCTGAAGAGTTGTAAATTTAATCCTTGGTCTTTTATTGTTCCAAAAAAACAAAACGGTAATTAAACTGTTTAATTTATCCCAGTATCCAATAAGTATATTCAGAGGAAGCATAGAGGCAAGGAAGTTAATTTGAGGTGATACCATCATTTTTATTATTGAAATTCTGGCATCAAAGGATATAGGTTTTGATGTCCATTTCTCTAAGTCTGTTTTAATCTTATTGAAAACTGTAGTGTAATTTGTATTGACAGTCATTTCTAAAGTTGGAAAAATGTAAACTCCTAGGTATTTAAGTTGATTAACAATCGGGTTATTAAATAAGTTTAAATCATCAAGGCTACTTAAGGGTAAAAGAGCCGACCAATAGGGTCCAAAGGTAGTCCCATTCGAGTCTATCGAATGCATTTTTGGCACGAGAGATATAATTCCACGAGGTCAGGAGGTCTGAAGAGTCTGGAGTTGAATGTAAAATGTGTAATATTCTTCTTAAATTGTCAGAGCTGAAGCGGCCTTTCACACAGCCTGTTTGATCACTGTTAAATCGGACAAGGTGATATTCAGCTACCACTAACAATTCGATAGTCGGTTAGTGTAGTCACCGTGGGCCATCAGTTTAAATGCTCGAGATAGAGTTATCTTCAGAAAACATGTATTATCCACTTCACGCACTGTGCAGCCTTAAGAGTTTACAGAAAATGTAACATAGTGGCATAGCCTACAAATAGACACATAACTAACATTAAAAATATTCCAGAAATTATATTAGCTTTAAACGACAGAAATACAGATGAAACCTGCGTATGAATATTAATAACACATTCAACACTACAGTCAGTTATATTGTCCTGCAGAGGAGAGTTGGTCACCTGTGGTGTTTCACTTCCACCTGTGGGGCCCTCTGGTATAGGGTACAGGTTAGGACTGTTTGTAAATATTTTCTGCCTCCTCCACACTTTTTAAAAGCATAGTTTCCTTACCGATGGTTAGCTTGCTGGATGCAGTAGACAGTTCGGGATGCCTCTTTTGTAGGACCTGAGAGTCCCTGTAAGCTTGTGTATCATGTCAACAGGTACGTGTTTGCATCTAACCTGTTTGAGAGCGGTAACCTGTTGGAGACAGAGTGGAATGTCTATCAGGACTGGCACACCTGGTTACTGAACCAGTTTGAAACGGACATCGCCCTCGACGCCATCATCTACCTGAGAGCGCCACCACAGGTACAACTGCTGGACTATTAACAATCCCAATGCTATGAGTCCTACTGTTGGGACAGGTTTAAGTACAGGTGTAAGCAATAGGAATGCAAGTACACTTGATAATTACAGGTATATGAGTACAGGTAAACCATAAAGATCATCAGAGTACACCTGTACTCATCCTGCATTACACCTGTACTCAGCCTCTTTGTTTTTCTCTGTACGTTTCAGCGCTGCCTTCAGGCTCACTGTTTTTCTCTGTACGTTTCAGCGCTGCCTTTAGGCTCACTGTTTTTCTCTGGACGTTTCAGCGCTGCCTTCAGTTTCACTGTTTTTCTCTGGACGTTTCAGCACTGCCTTCAGGCTCACTGTTTTTCTCTGTACGTTTCAGCGCTGCCTTCAAGCTCATTGTTATCCCCTCTGTACGTTTCAGCGCTGCCTTCAGGCTCACTGTTTTTCTCTGGACGTTTCAGCGCTGCCTTCATGCTCATTGTTATCCCCTCTGTACGTTTCAGCGCTGCCTTCAGGCTCACTGTTTTTCTCTGTATGTTTAAGCGCTGTATGCAGCGTTTACTGCACCGTGGCCGTGAGGAGGAGCAGGGTATTCCTCTGGAGTATCTGGAACAGCTTCACTTCAAACACGAAGCCTGGCTCTACCACAGAAATCTAAGGTAATTACTGAGCATGCTCACAACACAGAAACGTTACTGAGCATGCTGACGACACAGAAACGTTACTGAGCATGCTCAGTCTTTATATAAGTAACTGAGTGAGCGCTCTGTCTGCAACATCTTTGATTTGAAACTGATTCTCTGCAATGTTTGGCGGTGTGTTCATGGTCAGGCTGAAGAAAACGCTCATTACATGAATGTGTGTGTTCAGGTTGGACTTTGATTACCTGAATGATCTTCCTGTTCTGATTCTGGACGTTGACGACGACTTCAATAACGATCGTATCAAACAGGAAGCCATCGTTAACAAGGTTGACCTTTGACCCTCATTCAAACCCTCCGTGATAAATGAATGATGATAATAATGAATGAAACAGTGATTCATGTTGACGTGGTTTCTTCTGATCGTGTTCCTCCTGCAGGTCAGAGATTTTCTCTCCACGCTCTGAAACTTCATCGTCCAATCACAGCTGCTGATGTCAGCGTGGGCTCATCTGATTGGACCAATCAAACTCTGTGTCTCTTGATGAACGTGTTTTTATATTTTCTTTACGACAATTGTGTGTGTATGTGTTGAATGAGTTATTTATCAGACCACATTTCCGTTCTTGTTTGTCCTGACTCTGAGGTGTAAGTGAACACTTCCTAATGCATTCAGTGACAGATGTTTGTCTCTGTAAATCTGTGTGAATAAATAGGCCTATGACTAAAAGTTTGAAAAGGTTCTCTTTTTTTAACAGAAGGTGAGACAGGTTCAGAAAGGGTGGACATGTGTTCAGCAGGTTTATAAAGGTCTATTTTACTATCCTATCCGAGCTGACGCCATGTTTGAACGTTTTTACTATTTTATATATTTCATTAGATATATATGCTTACATGTATGTTCTGTGGTACGTTGCTGATAACCAATGAGGTGACCCTGAAGGCAGCGCTGAAACGTACAGAGAGACGGGCTGAATCTTGAGGGCTGCGGGGGCTCCAATGGTTAAATACAAATGGGACAGCACTTTACAACTTCTCTGTAGCCATGACTACATGATGTCATGTGGCAAAAGCTTATTTTACGTTTTCACTTTACTCACTCAGACATGGCGCTTATAAAAAGTTCTACTCAATATAAGCCTATACTGTATATAAATGTATTCGTTGTTGGATAAATATAGGTTTTTCTTATCTTATATAAATATAACGGGACTAATACGCTCTCTGTCTCGTTTACGTTTATAGACTTGCAAATGAGTTCTGAATTAGCGGACAGACATTTAATTACTGTCATACAATCGACATACAGTTAACAACTTCAAATGTGTTTTGTATTGAGGATCAAATATATGCCAACTCTTCCTTCCTTCAGTTCAGGTGTTTATTTATGTTTAACTGTTTTATATTTACAAAGACTGTTGCAAAAACAAAATAATATTAAATCATGTTGCAGACAATTTCTCGCTGTTAATATTTATTTCTCATTTTTCTACTTATGATGTATTTGTGAAATCTCAATTCAAACTTAAGTTACAACCAAAAAATACACTTTTTGCTGCTCTGATGTTCAACAATATTATCCTTGTCTTTGCATTAATTTAGGACACCCTGTTCTATAAAATACAATAAATTAACTGAACATTAAATTATAAATTAAAATAAACAATGTAGGCTCAATTTAATAGTTTTGTTATAAGTCTACTCTAATATAACTTACTGAGGAAGAAGAATCTAGGCTACATAAAGATTTTTACAGAATGCATTAGCTACAAAAAGAGACACAGTGAGCCTGAAGGCAGTGCCGAAACATACAGCGAGACACAGGATGCGTTCAAATCATCATTTTTGCTTAGGAATGTTCCCAAACTGAGTGAAATGATCCGGAAGCATTTAAGTGGCGGCCATGATAAGAGCTGTTTGAATTCTCTAAAAGCTAAGGAAAGGTGGGTCAATGCTTCCTTTATAACCTCCTTTAGCATAGGATACACTGGACCATCCTTCACCAAAGGAGATGAGATATGCCGCCCCACAATTCCTTTCAGCCGCAACATTTAAAGCGAGTCGCGCACCCGACCGTTCACGAAAATGAACGATGATCGTAAAGTGACACAGATCATGTAAGAGATAAAAGATAAGAGACATTTTTATCAGATGATGTTTTATTCAACATATTTCATTCACTTAAGAATGCTTTGTGCAGTTGTACATTTGTATGCTTAAAACATTATGTGTGGTTATATCCATATCCATATATATATATGTCCACGACTGACTGGCGGCGCGACCAGGCGCAGCGGCCCCTCTCTCCCGATAGAGCGGTGTTTTCTTCTTTTTCTAACTTTTCTTTTGACTTTTCTCCGTGTTTTACTATGGAAAAACACAATTACAGCCGTCGATTTTTACTGGACTTAAACAGTAACAGCCTTTCTGTGGAGTTATTACCCGAATCACTGAGACAACAGCTTCAAACTTTGGGACTGCTTCGCGAGCCAGTTTACCCTCCGGAGAGGAGACGTAAACGGTGCGAGCGGAAACAAAAGCGAGGTAAACGTGGAGGCATAAGAGCGAGACTGGCTAAAATACCACACAGGTCCGGTCTTCCAACTCTTCTACTGGCAAATGTAAGATCTCTGGACAATAAAATGGACCATATAGAGCTACTGAGAGCTGCGCACCGCGACGTGAGGGATGGCAGTGCGTACATTTTCACAGACATGGCTCCCAGACTCCGCCGTTCAGCTTGAACAATTCACATGCTACCGTTCTCACAGAATCCTTATTAAAGGAGGAAAGAAGAAAGGTGGTGGAGTCTGTGTTTACATCAGTGATGCTTCGCGTCAAGATGCTGCTGTGGTATGTAAACACTGTTTACCGCTGGCGGAGTTTATGATCATAAAGTGCCGTCCTTTCTATCACCGACCTTGCTGGTCGCTGTGTATATTCCCCCCACCACCAACAACGCTGATAGAATCGACGCACTTTGGGAACTTTACAACGCCATCAGTGAGCAACAGACAGCCCACCCAGACGGATTTTTCATCATCGCTGGGGATTTTAACCATGCAAATCTCAAGATGGTTTTACCCCACTTCCACCAACACGTGACCTTTCCCACAAGAGAATGTAACATTCTGGACATGATTTACACATCAGTTAAAGGTGCTTACAAAGCCTCACCCCTCCCCCACATCGGCCACTCTGACCATATCAGTGTAATGCTAATGCCAGCTTACAGACCCAGGGTTAAAGTCACCAAACCAGTTCAGAAGCAGGTATGTGTGTGGCCAGAGGGGGCCTCTGCATACCACAGACTGGGAGATGTTTAAGCAGGCAGCCACCTACAACAACCACACAGACATTGAGGAGTATTCTGACACTGTTACCTCCTACATCAGCAAATGCATTGCTGATGTCACCACCACCAGAACCATCACCACCCGGGCTAACCAGAGGCCATGGCTGACAGGAGAGGTACGCGGGCTACTGAGGGCCAGGAACACCGCCTTCAGAGCTGAGGACACAGCCTGCCTGAGAACAGCGAGGGCCAACCTGTCCCGTGGCATCAGGAAAGCCAAACGCAGCTACACACCAAAAATAACCGGACACTTCAAGGACAGCAGAGACGTGCGGAGCCTGTGGCGTGGTATCCAGACCATCACGGACTACAAACCCAAGCCACAGACCTGTGACAGCAACACCTCTCTGCTGAACAACCTCAACAGCTTCTTTGCCAGGTTTGAAGCACACAACAGCACGCCCCCACAGAAGACCACCACCCCTCCCCACGACCAGACCCTGTGCCTGACTGCAGCCAGCGTGAAGAGAACCTTCTCCAAGATCAACACCCGCAAGGCTGCAGGTCCAGACAACATTCCTGGCCGTGTGCTGAAGGACTGTGCAGAGGAGCTCAAAGATGTCTTCACAGACATTTTCAACGCTTCTCTGAGTCAGGCTGTTGTTCCGTCGTGCTTCAAAGCCACCACCATCATACCCGTTCCAAAGAAGCCCTCACCATCCACTTTCAATGACTGTCGACCCATTGCATTGACCCCCATCGCCATGAAGTGCTTTGAAAGATTAGTCATGGCCCACATCAAACCCTCCCCGCCACCCTGGACCCCTACCAGTTTGCATACAGAGGTAACAGATCCACCGAGGATGCCATCTGTTCTGCTCTTCACCCAGCCCTCACCCACCTGGACACCAAAAACTCATACATCAGAATGCTGTTCATAGACTTCAGTTCAGCATTCAACACCATCATCCCTCAGCAGCTGATTGGCAAACTGGACCAGCTGGGACTCAGCACTTCCCTGTGCAACTGGCTGCTGGACTTCCTCAGCGAGAGGCCTCAGACAGTGCGGGTCGGCGGCAGCACATCAAAAACCACCGTCATGAGCACTGGGGCCCCCCAAGGTTGTGTGCTCAGCCCCCTGCTCTTCACGCTGCTGACCCACGACTACGCGCCATCCTTCAGCAGCAACCACATTGTGGTAAGTTTGCGGACGACACAACAGTGGTTGGTCTCATCTCCAACAACGATGAGACGCACTACAGGATGGAGGTCAGCCAACTGGCCACGTGGTGCAGAGACAACAACCTCTTCCTGAACGTCGACAAGACCAAGGAGGTTGTTGTCGACTTCCGGAGAGTCCCCACTCCTAAACCCCCACTGACCATCGACGGTGCTGCTGTGGAGAGTGAGCAGCACCAAGCTCCTGGGGGTTCACATCAGTGAGGATCTCTCCTGGACAACCAACACCACATCACTGGCCAAGAAGTCCCAGCAGCGCCTCTACTTCCTCCGCAAGCTGAAGAGAGCACGAGCCCCCCCATCCATCATGTGCTCCTTCTATAGAGGCACCATCGAGAGCATCCTGACCAGCTGCATCACTGTCTGGCTTGGGAGCTGCACTGCTGCCAACCGCAAGACCCTGCAGCGCACAGTGAAGGCTGCTGAACAGGTTATCGGTGTCCCACTCCCCTCTCTTCTGGACCTCTACGGTACCCGCATCACCCGCAAAGCAACCAGCATTGTGCGTGACCCCACCCACCCCTCACACAGCCTCTTCAGCCTCCTGCCATCGGGGAGACGGTACCGCAGCCTGCAGGCCGGCTCCACCAGACTGGGAAACAGCTTCTTCCACCAAGCTGTCAGGAAGCTTAACTCTCTCCCCTCTCTTCCTTCCCTCCCCTCTGCCCCCACGAACACTGGACGTTGAAACCTCCTCCCGTTTGCCACCAAGAACTCTGGACTAATAACTCTGAAGCTAACTATTCAAAAGCATACTCAGTTTACTGCACATTGCACAAGTTTACAGAACTCTGGACTAATAACTCTGAAGCTAACATCTCAAAAGTACACTCAGTTTACTGCACATTGCACATGTTTACTTTTTCTTTCAATTTTATTTTATTTACCATTTTGTACCTTTTGCACAATTTAAAATTTATTACTGTAAATATTATTTATCTTATTTTTACCTCGTTTTGTTTATCTATTTTTACTTTATCTTATTTTACTTTATTTTGGTTGTATTGCACCGCGGGACGGAGACAAACGCAATTTTGATTCCACTGTATGTCTGGCATATTTTGAAATTGACAATAAAGTTGACTTTGACTTTGACTTTGATCTTGCAGAAATGTAACAATTAATTTCATACAGTCTGTATGAAATGATTTGTATGATTTCTGAGTGGACAGGAAGCTGATGGTTTCACTTTTGTTACT